AAAAAAAAAAAAGAAGTGGGTGTTAGGAGTTGAACTGCAGCCTTTGGGTTAATAGTGCAACTCCTTATGGACTACAAGACCCAAACCTATTCTCCATTCCTCTACCCCATGCTGTTGTTAAGTAGAGTCAGAACCAACTATAAATGAACCAGTTATATTGGAGTTATAGCTGACCGTCCTGTGGGTTTTCAGAGGCTAGAAATTATATGGAGAAGAGACTTCCTCCTGTCTTTCTTCCACGGAGCAGCTGGTGGATTGAACCTTCTGCCTTTGGGCTGTCAGAGCAACTTCTTACTGACTGTGGTGGTGGTGTTGACTGCCTTGGAGTCGAACACAACACACAGCGACCCTATGAACAAAAAGCCTGAAGCCCTTCTACAATTATCAACATTTATCAAAGTTCACAGAGTTCCTGGAGGCAAGCTGTTTAGGAAGTAGATGCCACTCCTGCTTCCAAACCTGTCAAAGAATGTTACTGGTTGAGCTGCCTGCACAACAACCCTATGTAGAGCAGCTCTGAACCTTTCCCTGTCCTGAACCAGTCTCAGGAATTCTAACACACCAACTCACATCAACCCAGTTACTGTATCAATCCATCTCATCTCATCTTATGTGACCCATTAGGATACTGGAGTTCCTTTATCGTTGTTTATAAAAATCAATCCAAGTTATCACTCAATTTTGGAATATTGGAACAATCCTTATCAATTCCCTCTCTCACTCTCTCCAAATAAACTGGTCATGATAAATTTTATTACATCTACTTCTAATATTTATAAACCCAACCTTGAATTCAAATTCTCACAATGACTGTACTATTTCAACAACATTCCAGAAAGTATCTATACAATATTATAATAACCTTTTTTTTTATTTTTTATTTGTGTCCCATCAAATCGGATCTGACTGCTACAGGAGGAGATTGTCCCTCCTTCTTCAGCAGAGTATCTGGTGGATTTGAAATAATAACTTTTTATAAAAAAAATCTCTATATAAGACACACAAAGGACCAAAAGATACAGCATAGACTAGACTGCTGAGGGCAGAAAGATTTAGTAAACAAAGGGAAATACTCAGAACAAAAATGATGAGAGTGCAGATATGACGTGACCTATATAGCCAATGTCACGGATCTTTATGTCTAGAAACTGTGGAATGGGAACACGTTTTGCATGGCTATTTTCACAAAAACCAAAATTTTAAAAAGATTTTTGGGGAAATTATGACCCCATGAATCCCGATTAAAGGTCTTTTGTTGTCTAAGAAAAATAACCTACTTCATTTAGCATATAAGATCCTTCCCGATCCAGCTCAGGCTTACCTCCTGCCTCTTCAACTCCATATCCCCCTATTCCATAGACCTCACCATTTCATAGCTAGGAGCGTCTGTGTACACTGCGGCTTCCGTCTAGAATACCGTTCTCCTTCGAGCCTCCATTGTACTTTGAAGTTTTTCTCACTTACCTTCAGCACTTCCCCTATTTATCTAAGCAGACCACAGTGCATGCTTTTCTATATTCTCAGACTCTTCCTCATGCTTCTATTACAGTGTGTATTAAAATGTTACAACTTTAAAAGTCTACCTAACAATAACTGGCCCAAGTGCTTTAAATAAACTTCTGAATTAAAAACTAGAGATCAGACTTGATTCAAGTGAATCACATGGCTGGAGTTATGTATTCTTGAAGATCTCCACTGTATATGCTCAAACCACTATTTCTCCAAGGTAATAAAGAGCTTGCCAGAGAGAAGAGGGAGGTCTTACCTCGAGGAAAAATGCCTGGGTCCATGAAGGTGGCCATACTGAAATTGGCCAGCACAAAGAGAAAAACAATGGCATTGTAGATGGGCACTGCAGGTGACACATACAGGCTGAGTCCTGGGCACCTGCACAGACAAAAAAGAAAATGACAGACTGCTTCTCACACACTGGATTCAACCATAGTCACAAAAATGTATAAAGATCTGGGAATTCTAGCTCACAGGCTAGCGGGTAACTTTATGAGGGAAAGCGAGAATAATTCACTTAAAAACTATAGCAAGTAAGATTCGGGGCTCCTACCTATGTCTCCTCAACAACAGTCAAGAGCCTCCATTTCACTCAACTCTAAAATCGTATGCATGTATTTATCCAACTTTAAATCAAGGTTCAAGATTCAAAAAGCCTTTCTCCTACCGTAACCCCTGGTACTAAAGTCTATGTTCTTCAAATTGACTTTATCATCTGGAGCTTTCGATGTGTTTTAGAATTTGTCCATACCTTCTAACAGGACTTAAGAACTATGTGCAGACAGGTTATCACTTCTTTCTTGGGAGTTGGCCTTTATGCCTTCCCAACTGGTTTTGAACCACCTTCAATTTCCTCAAGTTTCTTCACTGCTTCAGATTTTCCTACCATTCAACTAGCTCTTAATGGGGGGGGGGGGAAGAAGGAGAACCAATAATATAAATAATAGAATAGACATCAAAACTGAATGACAACTTCGCAAAGAAACTATCAGACCAAAAAAGCCCAAATACTAACAGGAAGAAGAAACTGCCCCAATATGGCCAGTATTCCACGAGTTCAAATTAGGAGACATGTGTTAGCTAACTGTTCACCAAAAAAACAAAGAATGCTCTAGTCCAACACTAAACTTAGTTTCTTTCAGGGAATATGAGTCTAAGTAGACACTTTTCCCAGCTCTGCTGTCATTCTGGGAGATGATGCGCAATGAGCTTTGTCAGTTTTATCAAATGTTCTCTCTACAGTCTCAGCTCAGGGAGAACTTTGTATTACAAGACAGCAGCTGAATATCCTAATCTGCTTTGTGGTTGAGAACTTAATCTCCAGAATTAGGCCAGCATCTGTCCTTGTCCTCTTGGGCAGGAATGGCCAAAAGGAAAGAAAGGGTCAGGAGAACAAGACTCATATGAAAATGGAGGATTAATTGACAGCAGTTCTGGCTTTTGTCAGAAGTGATCAAGCCCCATTAAAATCAGAGAGACAAAACAAAAACCCTGAACAGTGATTCATGACATTTTGAAAAAGTGAGCATATAATGACAAACACATAAGCCAATGGTAAGAGCCAACACTGACCTCCAGGAAACATCTTACAAGCCTCTGTGATCACCATTCAGCCAGCCATTCATTTAAAGTATTATGTGCTAAACTTTTTTGGTAGTAAATACCATTTAAGTCTTTGTTTCCAATAGATAATTGTAAACAAAATAATGACACTATTATTACTAATAACAAGGACAACAAGAGCCATTTAGAACAGTCTTGAACATCACCAAATAAAAGGGCTTATGGAAACCTCTTCCCCATGCAAGTTCTTTGGTTCAAACAAGTTGGCCCCATATCCTGGCAGCATTTCAGGTAGAATACAAGCAAGAAGGAAGAGTCACCCCAAAGCCTGACCTCCATGCCTTTGGAGGGTGGGAGGGAAACTGAAAACCAGTCATCCAGGTCAGAGCCCCTCCCTAGTACTGAGCTGTCACTTCAATTTCCGCCTGAGAGGAGGAGAAAAGGTGACTCACATAACTCCCACGCCTGGGAAGACAATTAAAAGGAAGAAGAAATTAAATCCTTTGAACACTGAGGTGTCCATGATTTAAAAGTCTTATTCCTAGAACTGGCCACTGAGGCCTCTTGGGCTTTAAAAAGAAGCAAGTGCATCCTCCACTCCTGGGGAAGACGAATGTTCTGGAAGAGCTGATGACTAAGAAACAGCAATCAGCCAGCCCCCTCACAGGCCCTAATTTCAATTTTTCAGATTTCATTTTTTTTCTTCCGTTTAATTTTCAAACAAAACAATAACTAATTTCTTTGGTATCCTGCCAAGCAACCACCTACCTCTCAGTAATGAACTTTACCCCTGTAACATTCTAGATAGCAACTCATCCCAGCCAAAATGTATAACTGAGTTCCAATATGTTGTCAAAATAAACCAAGCCCCCACAGTGGCAGAAGCCAGACATGATGCAAACAACTCAACTAACAAGAGCTACTATTTGTTCTTCTATTCAAATGAGGAGCCCACAGCTTCCCACCGCAGCACTCTGTGTGTGCAGGACCTGCCCCACCAAAGCGCACACTGCCTGGCTACCAAGAGGCTCTGCTACTCCTAGGTGACCACCCCAAGCATCCTGTCTGAATCTGTTGCCTTTGATGAAAGGAGATGAGGCCTGAGCTGTGAGGAGTTGTTGGGGCTCGTCCTCAGCCTATGGCAATAATCACAGAGCTCTGAAAGTGTAGGGAGTGGCTGTAGCCCAGGAGGCTCGTTGACTCACTGATGGGACCAGCTACACCATACCAGGCAAAACAGGTTCCCTTCCCCGCCCATTCAGCACTTCCATTTCAAGTCCAAATAAAATGAGGAGAGTGGGTTTCAATACCCACACTTCTAATATCCTGTTTTCTAGCCCTCTGTGGTACTTCCTTTTCTAAAACGTAGTTAAATTCCTGGAAAGGAAAACAAAGTAGAGGAGTCAAGACATTTTCTGTTTTCAGCCTATCTCAATCAATGTACGTGACCTTGGATAACACAAAGGCAACTCTCCAAGCCTGATTATTTCACCTACATAAAACAAATGTGAGAAAGCAGGAGTGCTGGAAAAGTTTCCAATACTCTTTTTAAACTCATGGCTCAACAAATACTGAGCACTGTCTGCATGGAAGACACAAAAAAACCCGTAATTAGCCATCACCCATTACCATTCCCACTCCTCCGTCCTTAATTCCACTTACCCTGAGACCTGAGGGATTCAGGGCACTTAAGAATATTCCTATGCATTCCACCCATGCCTAACAGACCGTCTGAGCATATGACTCTTGTTGATGGGAAGAAGGGTGGAACAAGCTTCCCACTTCCTGCCCTTGGGCATCCTCCTTCAGGACCTCGTCATCTGCCCTCAGGAGTCCATGGGGAAACATTACAGGCAGGTAAGCAAACCACCTGTTTTTGTTAGCCAGGTTTTCCAGCAGCAGAATGCTGGTTTTGCACCTGGGCACTTACTGTAACTGGAGAAAATAACTCAGAAAAAGAAAAGGAATAATTACTGCTCACCTAAACCGAACTCACTGCCTTTGAGTCAATTCTGACTTATGGAGACTGTTCAGTGGGCTCACAAGAGACCCTCCACTGGGCTTCCAAGGCTAGAGACCTTTCCGATAGAAGACTGCCCATCCATCTCCCTCGAATCAGCTGGTATATATGAACAGCTAACCTTGTGTTGGCTAACACGTCAGTCATTATGTCACCAGAGCTCCTTAACTACTGCTTAGTTAAACTTTAATCAAGAAGCTGGTTTCACTCAAATCAGGTGCTAACACCTGTGAGGTTATCAAAGCGAGGAGCAGAGGAAAGCCATGAAGTTGCTCAATTCACACGGGATGAAAGAAGTAAGTGGGACGGAGGAAGAACCTGAATGGCAGCATCTACATCATGGATGGACTTCGGCAAGATCCTTCTAGACTTCCAGACAGCCCTAACTTTCACCTTTTCCTTCAAAGACCACGTAAAGCAGAGTTTACCCTGACCTCTTCCCTAATAATGACTTTGGAAATCAGAAAAGGGAAAAAAAAAACACCGGAAAATTTTTCAAAGCTCCATGCTGTTGAGTCCATTCTGATTCATAGCTGTAAATCTTTATGGAATAAGATCCCATCTTTCTCCCGTGGATCAACTAGTGGATTTGAACTGCTAACCTGTTGGTTAGCAGCCTGGCACATAATGCTACATCAGCAGGACCAATAAAGGAGACCTGGGAGAAGATACAACTTAGGTATTTTAAATGACATTACCAGGAGCCCTAACGTTTCAAGGGCCCAAAGAAAGGCAAAGAGCTAACAAGTGGCTGGGTGTCGATGCCACAATGACTTGACCCAAAGCAGTCCTACATGTTTACATCTTATATATAGACAAGTATGGGTATTCGTCCTTTAATGTTTTAGAAATAAATGACTGAGCCAACCCTTATTCCCAACAATCTCTTCCTCACAATTACCTTCACTTGGTATAGGTACAATTTTTAAATCTGGGAAGCTTTCAAGTCTTTTCTTCCAGTAATGTAAAGCTGAGTATGAGAGATGCATACCTGTCCTGACTTAACCACAAACTCAAAATAAAGACTGAGCAAGGAATCTCATCGGTAACCCAGAGATTGCCTGAGCTCGGGCCCACATAAGAGTTAATTTTTAAAAAGGGTCCTGGTATGTTCAAAAGTGAATTTAAAAAATAAACAAAAGCAAAAAACGGTCCTGGTTCTAGTTCAACCACCTCATTACAGAGGAAAATCCGGAATAACATAAAGGTTTCACAGATTTTACCAAAATTGGTCTTCTTACTTTCAAACAGTTCTTCCCTAGCAGGGTTTCTTGCTAGTCATGTATCAACACATAACATAAAGGCAGTCACAAGAGAAAGGGCTACTTTACCAGCTGCGCTCCTCAAACAAGAAAAAGGAAAGACAGTATTTCTGTTACCTGTCCAGCTTAGTTTGGTACTAGATGGACTCAGTGAATAAAAGGAACCAGGGTTTTGTGGAGGGAGCTCTGGTGGCCTAGAGTCAAGAAGCTGCGTTGCAATCCTAAAGGCATGTCGTTCAAATCCATCAGAGTCTCTGCGGGAAAAGGATGGGCAATCTCCTCCTGTGCAATTTACTGCCTCTGAAAACCCACTGAAGGCCAGTTATGGGTCGGTTCCGACTCAAAGGCACTCAACAACAGGGTTGGGGGGGTAGAGGAAGTCTCAACCTTTCTATTCAGGATTCTCTGGGCCAGATTACAATTTCTGTGATGATCAGACTCACTCCAGTCATTTTCTACTCACAGTATTTTTTGCTTGACAAAGAAATATGGAGGGCAAATTGTTCCTAATTAGTTGAAGCCTACATGCCTGCAATAATTATACCTGCCAGTTGAAAGGGACTCTCCTTCCTGCTCCCAGTGGTCTAAGTCCCCGAGTTAACTCTCACCTGGGGTTTACACTGATGTAAGAACAGCTAGCTGTAGCTTAGTGAAGAGATTAAAGACGACGACACACTCTCATTACAGCTCGTGTCAGGATGCCCACTAAGCTAGATAAGCACAGGCTCCCTTGTGCTTACTTACTAACACCCGTCGTGAATAATTTCACTTTTTTTCCACGTACAGTTGTCCCGTCTCTCTCCCAACCCCACAGCGCCCTGCTTGAGAACCCAAGTCTTTTTGCAAATTTAAAACCTCTGGCGAGCACTTCCACAAGGAAAAAGATGGGAAATTGTTCACTACGGATTAGTAAGCACGAGAGAGGTCATGCTTGCTTTGTTTACTGGGTAATCTGCTCTGTTACAGATTTAAGAGCTCGAACAAGAGCAGATTCAAAGTCTCTTGCTTTTCCATTTGAAATTATGATTTGTTTTTAGTTTGTGTATCATTTCAAAATGGGGGTTCTCTGAGGAACTGAACCTCAAGAGGGACAGATTCCCCTGGGAAGAGTTTTCTAAAACAGTGGTGCCTCAGCTCAAGACCACACGCCTGCAGAGGAAATCCTATGGTCAGATCAAGAGGAAGAGATGAGCACTTCAGAGGAACCAGTGAGAATTTTCTGAGGAACAAAGAGCCAGGTGACAGAGGAAGATAAACAGGGCATTTGTGCCTTCACAAGGAGAGACTCTCGGGGGTAAACTGGGCCCATGAAAGCTGATAGCAGAGGCAACTCTAGTGGCTTAGTGATACCGCGCTGCCAGCCCAAAGGTACAGATTCGAGTCTACCAGTTGCTCAAAAGGAGAAAGGGATTTTTTCAGTGTGACTTACTGTCTCTGAGAACCCACGAGAGGATCAGTTCTGACTCAGAGGTACATAACAACTTTGGTTTAGAATAACTCCTGGCTAGTTAAAAACTGAGTCAGTACTGTCCTCCAAAATCCTCTGCCTGGGGTCTGTGAGACCACTTTACTGGCACCAGGGCACAGGAAAGTAGGTTAAATGGCTTCAGCTACCAGTTGAAAAAAAAATGACTGTGTCAGGAAAACTGTGGGCAAACAGGTATAACCTGCCAGGCACTTCAATGGTTCCAGATTAGCAAGTCAAGAACAAGGACTCTACTTGCTGTCTCCCAAGACCAGACCGGTTGAGAGAAACCACTTATTACCCTGACTTTTCTGGCTTTGCCAAGGGCTTTATCACTTGAAGGAAATATACACTCCTCAGCTAAGCAGGTCTAAGGGTGGAAAACTCTTGCACATACCCCTCCTGACTCAGCACCAAACTACTACAAGAAAACTAAGCTATGACATACATGCTCCTTGGTTAAAATGCTATTCTATTTACCAGTCATAACAACAGAAACGAGAACAAGTTCTGACACTGAAGACTCACCCCTCTCTTGGAAGTCAATGCAAAAAGGACACAAATCCGTGCATGCGAGTTTAAGCAAGAAAGAGAGAATATGCAGAAGAGCAGGATGGGAAGCAGGACAGTCGCTAGATCCTGAGGGAAGTCAGGTATGGTGAAGCTGGGGTGTTGGGGGCTACACAACCACCATTTCAAAGGAATAGGCATGAGAACAAGATGAGCAGAGCTTACAGAATGGATTTGTTCTTTCCTTGTACAAAATCTACACAGATCATTATTACTTTGTGGATTTTTAGACAGATCATTATTAGAGGCGTGGTATGTTAATTTTTAATTGGATAATGGTACAATTCTAGATGCTAGCCAGGAGGTGGACAGCTGAACTACTAGAGAAAAAAGGAGTAACGCTCAGTCTCTCCCACAAATAAAGAGATTAAACAAGTTCGGAAGTGTCTAAGTGGTAACGATGCATGCTAAATGGAAAATCCTTCAAATACGAAATGCTTTTCCCAAGACCTCTGGGAGACTGGTGAATGAGGGCCATTCTCTTCAGCAAAAGATCACTGAAGTGGCTCCTTTAGAACCCTCTTCCAAAACAAAATATGCCATTTCCCTGTGCCCTTACACTTCTCTAGGTTTCAGCTTTAATGCAGAGAAAACCTGCTAATACTGAACCAACAAAAGACAAGGCTATCAATTTATCTTATAAATCAATTTTTCAACATCCCAGAACTCAGTTCCCATAATCTCAAAGCCAAGCTTCAGACACCTTGGGGAAAAGCCATTTGAAAAATCTTTAGTCCCCTTTCTCTCATAGAAATGACTGCCTAGAAGCTGCTTCACTCGTCTGTGGTGGCTTCCTCCCACTTCCTTCTAGTTTAGGATCCTCTAATGAGGGAGCTGGGGAGGAAAACATCAAGACACCTACAAGTCCAACGGGAGGGAGGGGATGGAAGAGGGTACAATAGAGAAAGAAAATCCCTAAGAAGGCTGAAAGAGGACAGGCCTTTTCACTTTCCTCATGACACCTCTAGATTTGGATGCAGGCATCATGTACTCACTCTATTGGTCACCTGGTTTTGCAAGTCACGAGCAAAGTTCAAGAGATAGCCTATCCCCTCAATTCCCACAGCCCTGCCCCCCAAATACCACCGCTTTACTCACGTAAAGGCGAAGAAGAGCGTCGTGGCTCCCACTAGGAAGATGGCAGCTGCTGAGACCGGGACATACTTGCTAGGTTTGAATCTCTTTCCAGACTCTGCGGGCATGTTGGAGCTCTGATGGAAGATCTGCAATGCCGCATAGCCCAGGCCCACACAGCGGCAGAATACACAAGAAAATGGGATGAGGGGAACAATGGAGCCAAGAGTGGAGCAGGACCCAGGGAAATGGAAAATTCAAATTATCACCCTTCCCCCTCCCAAAGAGATGCAAAGGTCAAAAGATTTCAAATGTGGGAAAGCATATGGGAGGGGGAAAGGTGAGTCCCAATTCCGGATTATGAAAAATTACCTCCCCAGAACCAGGTAAAGGGGAGAGGCAGAAACACAACTTGGACAGTTTAAAAACTGGAGAGAAACCGTATGCTGCACACGTGCAAATAGTGGCAGGCGGAGAACACGGGCAGCCAGACAAATCAAGGAACAGCTCATGGACGGAAGCAGGTCTCCAAAGGGAAAGGAAGGGGAAAGATTAGGTAGCGCAGAAAACTCAGGGCAAAGGTTCTTAAGAGAAGACTCTACAGTCTCTCCACAACACACGCGTGCACGTGAGCGGCACCTCCAAGAGGTGAGCTGGGCTACTGCTTTAATCCACGAAGGAATCTGTTGCCCTTTCCTGCTTTCACAAGGAGCTGTGTGACTGCGGCCCCTGTCCTCTGCAGGCAGTCTCCTCAAGGCCACCTCTCTCACACCTGGACTTCACCAGCTTTTGCAGTCTGGCAACGGTGGGTGAATTTTTATTTATCGCCCCCTCTTGATGGCTTACGCTGGGCAACAGCTGTTACAAGGCTGAATTATAAATCCTTTTCTTTGACAGGGGAGGGAAATGGGAAAGAGCAAGCTTGTCTGTCTTCAATCTCTTCTTGTTATTCCCACGCCCTTTAAGGGCTCCATTTCCTATGGAGCTCATGCAAAATTAAAGGTGAATTTAAAATCCCTGAAGCCATAGTCTTTGCCAATAAGCAGAGGCAACTGAAGAGATCAATAATCCCACTCAATGACACCTTGTGAAGTTATTGTGAATTAAAGCAGTTTCAAAGTTGTCCCTGTTTCCAGGTTAGACAGAGTCGCTGCCTCTTTATTCTTCACTCTGGGCTCTCTGGATGCTGAGATCAACTGGGTCACAGTGCCTCACCTGGAGGAAACAAATAACTTTATTAGAGAAATTCTTTGAAGACATTTCCTAAAAACAGTAAGGCTAAAACCCCACAGACTACTTTGTTAACAAAAGCTTTGCAAAGAGAGATTATGTTCCATGTCACTTATATGGATATTAAAAAGAACTCTAAGCTGGGAGGAAAATGGATTCCAACTTCCTCACTATTCTAAGTACCGTTGAGACTGGAGGAAGGAAACCCAGCTTCACCAAGGCTAAGGTCACCAGAGGGCTGGGCGTTATAATAGTTCTTGCAAGGGGCCCAGCTCACCTGACACAAATGGGGCAGTAACAAATACCAAGAATATAAAAATCTAAAACCAAACATAGCACAGCAGTGAAAGACAGTCCTAGAAAAAGACATTTCTCTTTGGACAAAGAGAGTATTTATTGCCACAATGAAAAAAGTAACCTCAAAATTAGGACAGCAGGACTCTCTCTCTCTCACCCTGCTATACTTTGGAGTTACAACCCTAAAGAGGCAAAAGAAGAATTTATGGTTTTCTGGAATTAGCCAGAAAAGGGCCTGAGCCAGAAATATGTGTGCATTGAAAACTGAGAGAGATGCCTTCCCTGAGAAATGGAGGCTACTTGCAAGGGTTGGTGCTTTAATTCCCAGTTCAACAGTCTGTGTCTTCCAATCTCAGCTACATAGGGAGTCGCAACTCAAAAGAGCTGAGGTTTGCCAACTCAAACACAGTTCCCAGAGTTCGAATCCACCACATAAGAAAGATGGGCAATCTCCTCCCATGCAATTTATAACCTCTGCGAAATCCCCTGGAGGGTCAGCTATAAATCCACTGACAGCTACTAGAGGGACCATAACAACAGCCAACTGGGAAGTAAATAGAGCCCCACCCACTCCAGAAGGTTTAAGAGTAACAATTATTTCTGTTGAAGATACCAACCAAATAACATCAGCACTTTGAATTTTATGAGATGGTTTTCATCTAGTGATCTCAAAGCACTTTACTCACATTATCTGGTGACACAGTCCCTTATCCTACTCCATAAAATTGAAGCCTAGAGAATGCCTGCGGCTATCACACTGAATCACCTAAGCAGCTAGGTTAGGAACCTCAGAGCCCACAGGTTGAATGAAGCCAAGTCTACCTTTCTAACCAACCATGCTGCTTATTCAGTGAAGATACTTGTTTTATATGTAAACAAAAAAGCTGTACCTGTTAGGATCTTAAAAAGACAACCTTCCTCAATCTGTCTAGTATTCCCTTAATTACAAAGGCAGAGAGAAAAATATTTCAGGAGATTGAGACAGTGAAATACAAATGTGCTCTGGAATTTATCACTTGCTTTCCCTCTCTCTCTTCTGGAAGGGAAGGCTCCTTTTCTTTGAAAGCTCCTTTTTAGAAAACAAGTAAAACTATGAAAGGCCAAGCAGCAATAGCAGAATAGAATGAACATAAGAAAGTATAATAGTCCTAAAAAAAAATCTTCTGTAGCCTTCATTTTATGATAATTTCCTAGAAGAATGAAAGCCCAACCCTGTCAATTCAGGCCTAAGTGACTTCATTGACAAGAAGGAAATTCTTGGTCTGTAGACAGCACCATTAAAAGAAACTGTACTAAAAATCTCTAAAATTAGAATATGAAAAATTATACTACCTAAATTTCATCTCAAACTCACTCACTGCCTTTGAGTCCGAACTGACTCAGCTGACCCTCTTGCAGGTTTTTTGAGGCTGTAAAGCAAACCGGAGGAGATTGGCCATCTTCTCCCTCCACCCCTTGGCCCCCTCCCCTCCATCCCCTCCCAGGTGGCTAACATCTTTGAACTGCCAGAGGTGTCACCTTTGGGTCAACACTGCAACCCAAAGGACTATGAAACCAGAGGTCTAAATTTCACCTGGAGAAGAATACCATTTAGACACCAGATATTACTTCAGATGTTCATTTCTACAGAAAAAAAAAAAAGGCTGCATACTGCCATAGGACTGGGGCCATGAAAAGCCATACAATTTCAAGAGTACAAAACTAGGATGGATGCAAGATTGGCTGGCATCTGAGCAGTTTGGGGAATATACATTAGAAACAGCATAATAAATTCCACTAACTTTTTGGTTATAAATAATAACATAACAAGTCTTCATAGAAAGATGGGCTGTCACAGTAGGGAAGAGAGCAGAAGGGGCATGTGTGGTTCACGTGAGCTAGGAATCTGGAACCACCCCCACCACCAGCATGAGAAAGGTGTATGTCCAGGAATGTGTATATTGAGACAGTAAACCACGGACTGGAAATATGTAGGATCAAATTGAAGATCTGTGGGCACATTACCAATAAAGTGAAAAGTATGCATTCAATGACAATCAAGCGCCTCCTTAAAAGGGAAGATGGGAAAGTGTTTCTCGTATGGCTTGTTGAAATAAGAGTGGTGTAACAGTCCATTCTAGTAGATTTGAACATGCAGTAGGTGAGGTTCAGTGAAGCAATCAACGCGACAAGATACAGAAGGAGTCTAACGCGGCGTGCTCGTCGTTATGAGCGCAGGAAGCAAAGTTCAAGGCAGGGTAATTCTTGTCAACATTTGGGTGGGTTTTACAGAACGGGCGATAATGATTACCATTCTGCAAAGATTTGAAACTGGATAGGAGGGACCCTGGGATAAAGGATGAGAATGCAAATGTGGACCAACTGGCACAAGATGGCATTAGGGCAGGAAATGAGAAATCCAAGACATAAAGAAAACCTTGACCTCGAGTGCCACACACACCCCACACCTTCCCTGCTGAACTTCAGGTCACTTGCTTCTCACTTCGGTGTTCGCATTCGGCCAAGTGGACACTTTCCACCGCCCTGCCCCCCATCCCCCCAAAAAATGTTAAATATGTGTCTATAAGTAAAATACTGGCAGACACATTCGAATTCGACTTGTAAAAAAGTACCAAGTACTCAAAAGCCCAGCGCACCCGGCTAGTGCGGGTAAAAGGGCGAAGGGGGACGGGCAGGAGAGGGGAACAGGTAAGAGGACGAGGCTTGGGCCAGAATAATTACTCAGCCGGGTGGGCGAGCGACCCGAGCCGCAGCGCCGTAAACGGGGAACGGCACCCAGTCCCCACCCCGGAGCCTGGGGAAGAGCCGGGACGAGAGCCGGGGGGCAGCCCAGGGGCCGCCGCCGAGCCCGGGGAGGAGGAATCGCCCGCAGCAGGGCCCGCAGGGGCTGCGGGAGCGGACTGCGGGGGACGGCAGAGTCCGGGGGCGAGGAGCCAGGGGCGGAAGGGACCGCGGCTGGCACGGAGGAACCGGGGTCCCACGCCAATACCTAGGGGACCCGGCACGAACCCGTTCTGAGCTCCGGCGACCGTGGACCACCACCACCACCACCACCACCCCGAGTCTCTCCTCCTCCTCGTCCGTTTCCGGGGCCCAGGGATCTCGCTGCGGTTGGATGACCCGGCCCCGAGGAGGGATGGGGCCTCAACCACCTCCCCCTCCTCGGTCCCCCTTCCCTAGAGGTCACTCTCCCCTCCCACCTCATTGGCCCGGCACTTCCGGTTCCGCAGGGGCCGGAGTGTGCTCGGTACTCACCCCCCGCCGCCGTCTCCGTCACCACCACCGTCGTTGTGGCCGCCGCCTCCCGGCAGTGCCGTCCGGCCTCTGAGAGGCAGCGCGCGGCCCCCGCACGCTCCACGCCCGCCCTGCTCTCGCGCGTCCCCGTCCGACGACGCTCGGCTTCGAGCCGGCGCGCGGCCGTGGCCGTCAGTACGGGATCTCGAGCCCTCCCAACGTTCCCATTGGCTCTCGGGTACGGGTGCGCGCGACGTCTCGCGCCGGGCACGTTTCTCTCATTCATGCGGCTCGCGCAGCCGCGCCCGCCCCCCCTCACTCTCTCATTCACCCCATAACCCCCACCCCTACCTCGCGCTGGTGCGTGCGCACGAACCCGGGCGACCGCAGCGACCTCGCGGGCTGATTGGCTGTAGGAGCACAGCGCCGTACGCACGCGAGGAAGCGAGAGCGCGCACGTACACACGACTGCCGGGTTCTGCCCACGACTGCGAGGAGGGCTGGCGTACTGCGCAGGAGTCAGGAGTGAGAAAATTACCTTTTCTGCATGCCATTTCCTATCCTTACTGTACCTATAAAAAAACCTTCGAAAATTTGAAAAATTCTGTATATGCACCAGAGGGGATTAAAAGTAAGCAACTGTTTTCTGGATCCACCAACCCACCCCCCCCAATCAAGTAAGTGTGGTATAGTCTAGACAGACGTTTAATATAACCAATTAGGGAGAAGACCCGCCCTCTTCCTGTTTCGGTACTTAACACATTGGCCAGTTGTCTGGCAACTGATTTAGGTTGTTTGGAGGGTTTAAGGGAAAAAAACATTATTTAAAATAATATTGGAGAAGACCTCAGTAATGTGAGTTCCTTGGTGCCGCCAGAATCCTCGGGTGGCAGAGTGTGATGAGCTGTATCTCCTATAGGGAATAAGGAGGAAAAAGTGGGAGCAGGGTTGCTGCCAAAAAAACAGAAAGGGGAAGGACTGCAGGAGCGAGCCTGGGTTGCGCGATCTGTGCTGGTGTCAGCCCATGGGTTTGCGAGCCTGATTTTGGCTCCACTTCGTTTCCTGTTTCCCTATTGCAACAAGAGAAATGGTCGTGTGTCCCTGATGCCTCCCAATCTGGGAATACTGGCTGGGAGGAAAAGGTCCTTTCGAAGTTTCAACTCCAAACTTTTCACCCATTTAGCTCGGAATCACTGAGTTCTGAGAAATTTCTTTTGAAAGCTCTTCTGTCTGTTACATAATAGACTTTATACTAGATAGGTCTCGGAAGCTAAGGTTCCTTCTTCACCTGTGTGATCTGACTGCGTCTGGATCAAAAGTTGCTGGTTTAACTGGTTCTGATACTTAGGCAGCGAAGTAAAAGAAGTGTTTTCTAGGTCTAGTTCCTTCTTCGACGTGGCCTGTATTGAGATTCTAGTTTCTTTTTGCTACGGATTTCAACCCACCATTTAGGACAAGAGAGCTCTGGTGGTTCTAGTGGCAAGAAGCTGCGCTGCAATTCGGAAGTCAAGTGGTTTAAAGCCACCGGCTGCTCCGGGGGAGAAGGATGAGCAATCTCCTTCCTACCTTGCGATTAGCTGTCTCTGAAAACCCGCCGAAGGCTCAGCTATTGGTCGGTTCCGACTCGACCATACACAACAACATTCCAGAATCCTCTAGTATTATAGTAGAAATGGTTACATACAGCACTGGGCTGCTTACTGAAATACTGTCGTTCAAACCTGTAAAAATTTGTTGTTATGTGTCACTGGGTCGCCTGGAACTCACAGCAACATGGGAACCAACCTGAACCTTGCCCTATTCTGTGCCCTCCTCCCAATCTTTGATATCTGGAGCCCATTATTGTAGTCACTGTGTCAAACCATCTTATGGGAAATCTTTCTCGGGTCCCTCACTTTTCTCAGCATTTTTTTTCTCCTGACAACACAACATGCCCAAAGTATGTGAGACAAAGTTTCAACATCCTTCACTCTGGGGAACATCCTGGTTGTCTCTTCAGGACATGTCTTCTTTTGGCAGCCCATGGGATTTTCAGTACTCTTCTCTTAACACTACAACTCAAAGGCATCAGTTAGTCCTCTGCCATCCTTATTCACTACCCATCTTTCGGATGCATAGGCAGTAACTGCAAAGACCAAGGCTTGGCTCAGGCTCACCTTACCCTTTAAATTTACATATTGTTGTGGGGGAGGGACGTCATGCTTGGGAGGGTGAAGGGACAGCACGAGAGGAAGACGGCACTTGAGGAAATGGATTGATTCAGCGACTGGAGTAATGGGGGTAGGTGTGACAGAGACAAGATAGGCACAGGAGGGGAAAAAAAAAGATTGGCACAGGATAGAGCAGGGTTTAGGGCTGTTGCACATAGGGTCACTGAGTCAAAGGCAACTCACCAACACATAACGTTGTTAGGTGCTATAGAGTACGGCTCACAATGACCATGAACAGATCCGAACCTTGTCTTAGCCTATGCCCTCCACAATCTCTGACATACCTAAGGCTATTGCTGTGTCAATCCATCTGGTGGAGGGTCTTCTTCCTCTTTTCACTGACCTTCTACCTTTCCAAGCATGATGTTCTTCTCCAAGGAATAGCCTCTCCTAGAAACATGGCCAAAGTATGTGAGACAAAGCTTTATCACCTTTGTCTCCTAGCACTCTGGCAGTACCTACCTTCTCCAAGATACACGGTTGTTCTTTGAACAGTCCATGGGCTATTCTGTACTCAACACCACAGCTCAAAAGCATCAATTCTTCTGTTTAGTAGGCAAGTACAAATCGCTAATACCCAATAACCTACTTTAGACTGCTGTAGTTAGGTCCTATCAAATAAAGTTAAGGGACACACCCAACTAAAAGCCTATAAATAGGGGTGCCTCCTGACAGTGCTAAATTGGGGGATGTGCTACTATCCAGCTTCAAATTGCTTAACTCCTATGGGATGCTAGATTTACTACTGGATGTAGATAAGATACTCCAGCCATTTGTTGTTGTTGGGTGCCACTGAGTCAACTTTGACTCACAGAAACCCTATGAAGTTTGCCCTATCGCACACTATCTTTATGATCACTCTCATGTCAAAGCCCATTGTAGTCCATCTTGTTGAATGAAGGTCCTCCTTTCGCTGACCATCCATCCACCTTTCCCAACATGTCATTCCAGAGCTGAAATTGTCTGGAATTGGCCATTTTTAATTAGACAAGCATATGGTTTACTATGCCAGAAATAGAGAAATGGTGTCATGTTCTAATTTAAAAACCTTTTAGGATCTATACTGAGGTTCAGTGTTGTCAGTGGTAGGATAATACCCATATGTCCATAAGGAAGTTTTCTTAATACTATTGGGCAAACTGACCCTCCAACCGCTAAAGCGAAAGGCAAAAAATTGAGGGTGTCTGTCAGTTTTTAGTCTGAAATTAGTCAAACATGCAAGCAAGATACATTTATTAACTAATGGCTGGAATGCAAAACTTGGGGGGTAAAAGAGATTGGTGGTTGAAAGTAGGGCCTATAGGAATGAGGCAGAGATCACATGACAGAATTTGTATAACCAATGATTTAATAACTGCAAGTATCTCTTGCATGAAAACCCTCTAGAGGGCCAGCTCTAAGTCAGTTCTTTCTGACTCAACAATAATATCATAAAGTTGAGGACTGATTAGTTAAGTTGAAGGTAGGGAAGAATTCCATAAGCAACAAATTATGACCTTAAGTGTATTCCACATGAATTTAGAAACCATCTCAAGAAAAGATTTGGTGCACTGATTGATTTGGAACACTAATGACTGAGAACCAGAGGAACTGTGGGATGACTTCCATCCAGGACATCATACATAAAGCAGGCAAAAGGTTATTCAAAAGACAGGAAAGAGAAGACCAAAATGAATGTCAGAACTCTGAATCTCACTTAGAATGTAGGGAAACAAAAGTGAGTGGAGAAATGAAGACGACAAAGTGTGGTTAATCAAAATAATTAACTTTTTATTGTGAACTGTGGGAAGGTTTACATTTTGGGTGAAACGTTACATTACAAATTGGTTTTCTTTTAAAAAACAACTTTTCACTGTGCTTTGAAAGCTTACAGACCAAAAGGGTTTTAGATTCAAGAGTGCATACACACGTTTCCTAAGAGATTGAAATCCCCCTTAAAGGAACATCACTCATCCCATTTCCTCCCAGTTTCCCATTCCCAATTTTCTGCCTTTAAGACAAATGTTACCTTTTAAAGACTACCTCCCAGGGTGGGGAGGGTGTCCTTATAAACTGCTATATTGTTGGGCTGACAACTGAACCATCCCATCCATAGGGGTTAGTCCAGTTTCAGACCTGAAGGGAGACTAAGGACCATAGTCTTAGGGGTCCTTTCTCTGGTCAGCAAGCCTGGTCTCTTGGATGATGGTGAAATTTTGCCCCATGTTCTTTCTCTCACTGGTTCAGAAGCTCCTAATACAACCCTTTCAGGGAGGTTAAGTGTTAACCATGCACCATATATAGTTCTGGTCTTTTTATTCTACAAACTCAACACTGACAGCCATTCCTTTAAATCAATATTCAAGTCTCCTCTGCTAACTCAAACTATGTTTAAAGGAGCCCTGATGCCACAGTACTAAAAAACTGGCAGCAACTGCAATAATGGCAACTCAAATCTACCAGTGGGTATTGCTGCTGAAGACCAGACCCGTAAATGGCTTCCACCAACAGTGTTACTAAGTACTGGTGACTTGGTCTTGACTCAAAGCACCACTATTACAACAGAACTAAACAATCTGTTCCATCTTCACAATCGTTTCTATGCTAGAACCTATTGTTGTAGCCAGCCTGTCAATCCAGTTGGTTGAAGGTCTTCCTCTGACCTTTTATCAAGCATGATTTTGTACTTCATTAAGTGCTTAGAAGCAAGGAGAGCCTGCCCAGAGAAGGACAGTCAGGAATGCCAGAGCTGGTGCGATGCCTCTGTAAGGTCAAAACACAGGAGGGTTTCTTGAAGAGTGCAGTGGTGTGGGGACCAGTCTCCAAGAGGAGAACTCTAAGGCAAGATGCAGCACAGATCTCAGGTGACCCTTAAAGCAACGCTCCTGGCTAAGAGGTCCTGACTGTCATCCTGGCGGGCAGACAACCCTGAATGGCCTCAGGGAAAAGGGATGCTTTCGGTGAGGATGTGACCCACCAGGCGTCAAGATGCTCAAGCTCATGATTTGGAACCTGATGCTGCTTAGGTGCCACCTGGGTTCTCAAACTCTGTGTCCCAAAGAAATATAATACTGTGGATCAGTAACAAATACTGAGGAGCCACCTTGGAAATACAGAGAACTATTCCATTTTTTTCTCTCCAACAACATCATACATTCCAAAGGAAAAGTAAGTAGCAAAGGCATCAAGTCTCAACAACAGTAATGTTTGAAGTACAAAACCTGTTTTTAGGGACAACTTCGGCTGTGTAATCCCATTCAGAGTCTACACGGATGTACCAGATGTTTGCAATTAGTATGGGCAGCCTGATCATCCTGGGATTTTCGCCCACTCGCTGCTGCTCTTTTTGCCAGAGGAACATTATACTTTCCCGTTCTTAATCCCCATATGAAATAAACATACAGGAGACTGAAGTAATCTCATCTTTGCTTTTTCATTATCTACAGTCAAGTTTTACTTGCAGATGCTATCAGTGATCTAGTTTGGTAATTCCCATTCTACTGGGTCCCCTTTTCTGGAGTAGGCACAAGGAAGGGTCTCTTCCAGGCGGCCATCTAGGCAACTGCCTTTCAAACCTCTTAGCGTAGACAAGTGAGCAGTGCATTGTACCATCCACTTGTTGAAACATGCCGGTACTGTCAAGTCCTGCTCTAGTTTTTGCCCAAGCTTCCAGGGCAGCTCGAACCTCTCCCTCAGTACCTTAGTTCTTGATCATATGCTACCCTCCTAAAATTGCTTAACAGTGAATAACCGATAGTTTCTGGAACAGTGACACTATTCTTTCAGTCTTCTTCTGTGGTCCTGGGCCATCAGAATCATTCAGTATTCCATCCTGATAATTTGAAATTTTTCTTAAGCGTATTCAGCTTGAGAAATGCCCATCTGCTCTTCTTTTTGGTTTTCTAACATTTTATTTTAATAATACTTTGTCATCGTGAACCAAGTTTTAATTTCTTTTATCTACTTTGTGTCAAGACCAAGTTTCAGAACCCTCTGACATTTATCCTAAACTTTTTTTTTTGTCTTAATGACCTCTAACCACCACAAAAACAAACAAATCTGTTTTAAGGTTGACCCATACAGAACAGACCACCAATTGCTTATGGGCAAATTCATGTTCCAACTGAAAAAAGGAGCCAAAAATATCCTTGATATATGCCACCTGAATTTTGAGGCTTTCTCAAGGATAAATGGCACCTTGACTACTATAATAAGATAAATAAAAATTTGGTAACTTCAAATTTTCCAAGATTCATGCTTCATACATTGCATGAAACTAAAACCGATACTGTTCCTCTTTAATTTGCCATTCTTGACTTCATTCCCACGTAAAGACCACAAGCAAATGTTCTACACTTTCTGCTCTAGCCTCTATAATCCACTCTAGAAGCTTCAGTAATCTTTTTAAAATGTAAATTAGATCGTATCTTTTCTCTTCGTAACTATTCCAGCCTCCTATGGTTTCCCACCGCTCTGAGAAAAAAATGCAAATTCTTCACTCTGCTTCCGAACCAAAGCCTTACATCAATCTACTACTTTCTGCTTGGTTCACAACATTGTAACCCACCAATTTTTTCTCTTCTCTAAACACATCAAGCCCTTTTTTTCTTTA